CTTCTGTGCTTCAAAGGACACCATCAAGGAAGAGAAAACAACCCCAAACTGGGAAAAAAATTGGAAGTCATAAATCTGAGGATAATTAAATTTATTATTATCTCTTTATTAGAGATCATTTTTTTGCCCAATTAAAAATGGGCAAAAATCTGAATAGGAATTTCTCTAAGAAGATATACCAATGGCCAATAAGCACATAAAGATACTTAACCTCATTAGCCTCAGGAAAATGCAAATCTGAATCATGAGAAAGCACTTTACCTGCACTGAGATGACTCAAACCAAAGAAGGAAGGCTTGTATTAGGCAGGATGTGGAGAAATCAGAACCCTCATATCCTAGTGACGGGAATGCAAAATGTAGAAATGTATCTGTTTGGGAAATGGACTGGTGGCTCCTCACAAGATCAAAACCTAAAGTTGCCAACCACCCAGCAAGTCCAGTCTGAGGCATGGATCCCAGAGAACAGAAAACATATGCCTATACAAAAACTTGTTGCATGACTTGTTGTTCATGGTTGCATTACTCATAATAGTGAAAAGGTGGAGACAACCCAAATGTTCATCAACCAATGAGTAGGTAAATAAAATGTGGCATATCCATCCGATGGAATATTATTCAGCCACGAAAAGGAATGAAATGCTCAGACATGCTATAACAGGGATGGAACTTAAAAATATTATATCAGTGGAAGCAGCCCATCAATACCACATATTGTTAAGTCCCCACTGATAGAAAACGTCCAGAATAGTCATATCATTGAGATAGAAAATGGATTTGTGTTTGCCTAGGGCTGGGGAGAGGAGGTTGAACAGTGGGGGGAGTTGACTGTTAACGGGTATGGGTTTTTGGAAGGTGATGAAAATATTCTAAAATTCACTGTGATAAGAGTTGAACAACTCTGTTAACACCACTGGATTGTACATTTTAAATCATACAGTATATGGCTTCTATCTCAATAATCCCGTTATGTAAAAAACCCCACAAGAACATAAGCATACATTTTGTTTTTGTTTTTGTTTTTCAAGAGAGAGTGAGCGAGCAGGGAAGGGAGGAGAGGCAGAGGCAGAGGGACAGAATGTCAAACAGATTCCGTGCTGAGTGCAGAGCCTGATGTGGGTCTCGATCTCACCATCCTAAGAACATGACCTGAGCTAAAAACATGAGTTGGACGTTTACCTGACACCCAGGAACCCCTGCTTTTTATTATCTTTGACATATGCACACACAAAATAGTACATAGTATCGGTATACTTTTAAGTTTTATGTATTTTGGATCACATCCTTTGGTATCTTTTTTCTTTTTTTTTAAGATTTTATTTATTTACTCATGAGCGACACAGAGAGAGAGGGAGACATAGGCAGAGGGAGAAGCAGGCTCCTCACAGGGAGCCCAATGTGGGACTCGATCCGCCGACCTTGGGATCTGCCCTGAGTCAAAGGCAGATGCTCAACTGCTGAGCCACCCAGGGGTCCCTGATATCTTTTTTCACTTAGTTATCTTTCAGATTAATCCATTAGTAAACTCTTATGGCATGAACACAAACTTTGCTCAATTCTAAAATTCATAAACACAAAAGGAAAAGACTTCCTTTGATCCTACACACCTTGCCAGCTGCCGATTTCCCTGCTCTCCCTTCAGAGCCAAAATTGTCAAGATTTCTCTAGATATGCAACCTCTATTTCCTTACTGCTTCCCTCCTCTTTATTCTATGAACAGTGCATTGAAACCGCTTGTCAAGGTCACCACCAGCCACCATGTTTCCACCAACACCCCATTTCCACTTAAGATGCATATTTGAAACAATTCCCCAGCATCTCTAAGCTGGGGCATGTTATGGTTGATGGCATCTAATCATTCCAAATGTTAGCATTTTTGTCTTAGCAGCACATAAAATAATGGTGATTTTTATAATAGATGGCATCTTATATGCAATGAAACTTGGTACGGTGGACAGGCTTGTCATTTTACCTTAGAGCTATGTTGGCCCCAACTGACCTCAACCTACCTGAATTGCTTTCTTCTGGCTTCCATAAGCATCCCTCCCCTCATTTTCCTCCTGCCATCTGCCCACTCCTAAGTGTCCTTTGCTGGTTCAGATAATGGGCCTTCAAGTCTCCTTCAATGCTCATTTCTCACTGCGTTCTGCTGGGTGATTATACTCAGCCCCACCATGACAGCTGTCAGATGATTATAGCTCATGCCCAAAACTCTATCAGCAGTCCAGGCTCAAATCGGCCTGCAAATTTCACACTATTTCATGTCTACAAGGCATTTCTAGCCAACATGCGCCCAGTGAAGCTCCTGCTTCTCCCTACTACACCTCGACCTGTTTCTCAAGCTAGAAATCTGGTCATCATCATCTAGTTTCTTCTTTTCTCCCACTTCTTATCCATCACTGAATCTTGCTGAAACTGCAAAGTCCATCTAAACTGTGTCCACCTTCCCCGACCCTCTAGTTCAGACCACTGCCATTTGCAGACGTGAAAGACCAGAGCCTTTCACTCATCTCTTCCTCCTTTCTCCCTGCAGGAGTTGAGTGACCAGCAGGAGCTCCCTGTAAAATACTCCGAACTGTGTTCCTCTCTTGCCTCCCACCCCTCACGGGCTGGCTACCTCAGTCAGGTTCAAGCCTTGTTAAGCCTGTGTGATATTGTTTTGTTAGCATAAAAATATACAGTACACAGCATGCTGACTATAAAGAGTGCTGTATTGTAGATTTAAATGTTGCTAAGAGAGTAAAAAAGACCTTAAAATTTCTCATCACAGGCAGCCCGGGTGGCTCAGCGGTTTAGCACCGCCTTCAGCCCAGGGTGTGATCCTGGAGACCCGGGATCGAGTCCCGTGTCAGGCTCCCTGCATGGAGCCTGCTTCTCCCTCTGCCTGTGTCTCCGCCTCTCTCTCTCTCTCTGTGTCTCTCATGAATAGATAAATAAAAAAAAAAATTTTTAAATTCTCATCACAAGAAACAAAAATTTGTAGCTATGTGCAACGATGGATGTTTACACTTACTGTGATCACTTTGCAAGATGTACAAATAGCAAATCATTCTGTCGTCCATCTGAAACTAACAGAACGTTATATGTCAATTTTATCTCAATAAAAAAAAATTAGATCTCTAATCTTGGTTTGTAAAGAACCAAACAAACTGTAATGCAATATAATGTATAGTGTATATATTTTGTCTTCATCCCCAGCTCTGGGTCAGAGCTCCTGACATCCTTGTAATTTTCTAAATGATAAGAGGATAGGAGCATCTTTTGTTCGAATATCTGGGTTTGGTCTTGGCTCCCTAAGGTCCAAATAATAAAGATAAAAATGTCTTTACTTATTCCTGACAAGCCCTTTCAACCACACCAGAGTTTAAGGAGGTGACTTTTGGAAAGCTCCTAAGGATGGAGACTGGTTGCCACAGGAACCAACCCCATCATTAGAGGGCTGGAATTTTCAGCCCCAGCCCCTGACCTCTGCAGAGGGGAGAGGGGCTAGAGGTTGAGCTAATCACTAATGGCCATGTAATGAAGCGTCCACAAAACCCCTTAACTGAAGCTGGGTTGGTGAACAAGAACACATGCCTGTGCCAGGAAGGTGGAACAGGAACAGATGCTCCTGCCCTCGGTACTCTATGGGACCTCACTCTCTGTATCTGACCAATCATTTGTATCCTTCAGTAAGCCCTTTGTAATAAGCTTGTCATAAGTCAACTGCTGCCCTGTGTTCTGTGAGCTGTTACAGATAATTATCAAACCTGGGGAGGGGGCGGGTCATAGGCATCTCTGACTTGTAGGCAAGTTGGATATAAGTATGGGAGACCTGGGGACCTACGACTTGCAAGCAGCACCTGAAGTGGGTGTAGTCCTGTGGGACTATGCCACTACTCTGTGGGGTCTGCACACTGACTCCAGGTAGTATTAGAGCTGCCCAAATTGTAGAACACCCGGGGACACCTGGGTGGCTCAGTCGGCGAAGCGTCTGCCTTCAGCGGAGGTCATGATCTCAAGGTCCTGGGATCCAGCCCTGCTTCGGGCTCTCTGCTTGGCAGGGAATCTGCTTCTCCCTCTTCCTCTGTCCGTCTCCCTGCTCATGCTCTCTCTCTTTCAAATAAATAGTCAAAAAAAAAAAAAAAAAAAGATCCAGGGTGTGACTGTTAAGTGAATTGACCCATGTGGAGAATCCACACCTATGGCGTTAGAAGAGCTCTCTTTGTAAAGAAAACACTTTCCTTTCAGCCTGCAGGCCCTGCAAGGCCTGGCTCCTGCCCCAGCTCTTCCCCTGCATACCCCTCAAGCTTCTGCCACACCAACTGCTCTTTCCTTGGGGCTGGCTCCCTCCCATTCTTCCTAAAGATCTCACCTTTACAAAGGCCATTCCCTCATCTCTCTTCTCCATCAGTTCCTCAGTACTTCACTGCTTCTCCGAAGGTCTTCCCACATTCCTGGGGGCCTTCCTCTTACCGACTCTCAAGGATTTGTGGAAGGAACCAAACGAGGAAATCAAACATACTAGGTTCATCAAACATCTGCAGGGCTTTCACAGGAAGGACTCATCTTGGACATTTCCAGAAAGGAAAATTTGCATGAGAAGCTCCAAGACATTTCTGCTAAATCTCAGATAAGAAACACTAGGTATGGTAGGTATCCACCCATTCCGAAGGCAGTTGATCAGAGCCGGGCATTTCCAGGTAGAGACCAGATGGCAATGCTGTTGAGAGCAACAATACTGCCCCATTTGGTGGCAGAGCCAGATTACCTCCAGTCCCTGCAGTGTACAAGTCTGTTCTCTGGTTCTCAGGGATTGCACAGAAGTCACAGAGGCAGCAATCACCAACTAAATTCCCTAGGGAGAGCACATGGTTTTGGCTTTTGCACAGCCCCACAAAAGACAGCACTTACAGCCACATCTCCCTCCTACTGGACACCGAAATTGGAAGATGGGAAAGGCCTTCAAGGGAAGTGCAGGAAAGCCTGCCTGATGACATTAAGACACAATTCAGACCAACAACCAGCACTATTTAGATTTTATTTCATTCTATTAAAAATAAAAACTACAGAAACAAAAACTGAATATACAACGAGAGGACGGGGAATACCTCGCAGGAGTAAACAAAGGAACACAGCAATGGTGATGGCCAGTCCCTGGCTGGGCACCATTGTTACCAGGGATAATTCTCATTCCCAGCTCGCTACCACACCGACCCCCAGGGAAGCAGTGGGGGCGGTGAGGTGCTATGCCACATGTTGTGTGCTCTTCTGTCCACAGTTTCTCTACTCACAGAAGCCTAGAGAAACCCGCAGGATAGAGTTCAGAAAAACATTACAAATACCTTGAACTTGATCTTTGGCCAAAGTGGCAGAAGCATCCAGCACTGGGGACTCACACCAAGAGGAAAACAAGTTCTTGTAACACCCTCCTGAGCTCGGTCACCTCAAATGACTCTGATCCAAGGTGGAGACAAACCTCCCACAGGCGGAGGGCTGCCCAGCGGGTTAAAGAGGCAAACTGCCCACCCCAGACGGCATGAGGAGCAGAAACTGGAGCCAAAGAAACAAGCACCCTCGTTCCCAGCCCAGCCTGAGCCCAGGAGACCAGGGGTGCAGCTGGGTGTTTCAGCTGTGGAGCCCTGCACCCGCCCTCAGTGTCCCTCACTGGTTGGGTTCCGTGTGCCTGTAGAGTGTGGAGTCAGCCCTGGGTCCGCCCTCCTGCCCATGATGTCCACAAGCTACAGTGGACGGTCCTGAGCCTCAGAACTGCTGAAGGATCATTTTCCGTTTCAGGTCATGGCTGAACCTGTTCATCCTGAAGAGCTCACTGTCGTAAAAAGCAGACAGGTTGTGGATGTTGATCTGACGAGCCTGAAAAGAGAAAACGTCAAGTGAACCATGAGAATGGGTTTCAGCCTGTCTGCAGCAGGGCCCTTGATTCTTGTCCAATGTCTGAGGTCCATTCAGGGCAGCGGGGGGTGGGTGGTGGGTGGGGGGGTGGTCAACCAACACAGAGGTGACGGAGTCGGGGTATAGAGACAGACACAGGGCATGAAACCTCAGCTCTGCCAACTGCCTGTGAACATGGACAAGCTACTTAGTTACTCAGCTGCCCTGTGCCTGTCTCCTCTGTAACACGGATGGTGGTAATAGGACCGACCACTATCAAGGGTGTTAACAGCACAGAACAGGGCTCAGCACACCAGGACACTTAATAAAGGGCTCCCATCCGAGGTCTGCCCACTTAATGATGCAGCAAGGACTTCTTGCCCCCAAAGAGGACAGACAGCTCTCCAGGAATCACCTGTGTCCATACCTTGTCCACCAAGTCCTTTTCAGGCACTTCAATAGTGTCCTGCTGGGCCCCAAAGCGGTTGCGCTGATATGTCACCTGTTCTGCCACTAACTGCTTCAGGATGAAGAGCAGCAGCTCATTGTTATCACGCCGGAAGGAAAGGTAGCGGGCAAAGGTCTGCAGGAACAGCGGAAGTCACGTGATAGATACCTTCCTCACCAGGACCCTCCAGGCTACTATGGGATGACCAGTCCCCGCCTCCACCACACTCCCATTATGACCAGCCAGAGCAGCCAGGTCAGTGAGCTGTGGCTGCAGCCAGGAGGACGGCAAGGCCCGGATCCAGAGCCTTGGGAGGCCCGCCACGGCCGCCACTCTCCCACCCACCTTCCTCATGCTGCGCATGACACTGAACTTCTGCGTGTCGATGAAGCTCTCCAGCATCACGCGGATGGCCATGCTGACGTCATCCTCTATCACATAGTCACGCAGGTGAATGCGCGCGTGGGCCTCTGCCATGCGGATCATGGACTCAATGTGCCGCACTGTGATGGGGATGCTGCCCGTCGCCTGGAAGAAGGACAGCGTCAGGCCTGCTCAGGCAGGAGACAGAGGTGAGAAAAATGGCGAAGTGGCACGGCTAGTGGCTCTGACAAAGGCCACACGCTCGGGGCCTGCCACTACCCCGCCTGCATCTTCTCTCCCCCAGCTCACTGTGTGCACCCCAGAGTCTGTAAGGTTTGTAGCCAGCTGTATTAAGTTTTGTCACATGGTAAGTACTACACATACCCCTGCAACAAAAGTGGGAAACAAAGAAGCTGTTTGTATAAAAACTAGGTCAAATCCTCTCCAAGGACTCAATGAAGCTGCTGTCTTGGTTAGGTGGAGGAGACCTACCAATCTACAAGAATTCTGCAACCCAGGGATACCTGGGGGGCACAGTCAGTTGAGTCAACTCTTGGTTTCAACTCAGGTCATAATCTCAGGGTCGTGAGATTAAGCCTCATGTTAGGCTCCATGCTGGGTAGAGAGTCTGCTTTGGGATTTTCTCTCTCCCTCTCCTCCTGGCTCACTCAAGCTCTCTCTCACTCTCAATTAAGCAAATAAATCTTAAAACAAAACACAAAAACCCCACACAATTCTGCATTCTAGCTGCATGCAATGTGCCTTTATATTTTGCTCCCCCATGAAAGAACTGATATGTGTTCAGACAACACGTTTTGGTGAAATTCACAAAATCAGCACAGAACTTAACTCGTGGCCAACACTTAAGATACCTTGGCTTCAAACCCAATAGACCAATGCATGCACGTTTATGTTCCATCTGGAACAAAATGGTTAAGAGACAGCTACAACTTTTTTTTTTTTAAGATTTTATTTATTTTTTAGAGAGAGAGAGAAAGAGAGAGAGAGAGAGAGAGAGAGAGAGAGAGAGAGAGGGCAGAGACACAGGCAGAGGGAGAAGCAGGGTCCCTATGGGAAGCCTGATGTGGGACTCCATCCCAGACCCCAGGATCATGACCTGAGCCAAAGACAGACGCTCAAATGCTGAGCCACCCAGGCGTCCCTCTACATCTCATTTTTTAAAGGCATTCTAGCTCTAGGTCTTCTTAGATTAACTGACTGCACAGCTAAAGAAACTTCCACGGTGCCTCCCTCTCTGCACCCTACTCCACCCCCTCCGAGGCTGCACCCTAGGCCCTTACCATGGACTCTTTTCTCAAGTCACTATACATCTTGGCCACCTTGTCCTGGTCCATCTGGTTGAGCTTTGGGTGGACCTTCTCCTTGGCATAGATGATGTACTTCTTCAGGACTTCCTGTGGCAGGGGTTCCACACCATATGTGTTGGGCATGGCAGGTTCCTGGGTGCCACTGCTACCCAGCCCCTCCTCCTTGTTGCTGGGGTGGTGTCTGATGTGGCTGCCAACCACAAAACGGGCGAGCATCTCATCCTAAGACCAGAGAGGGCAAGTTACAGGGTGAGTAGAGTCTCATGACCTGGCTTGGAGTAAGTCAGCTCGTTGGAAGAAGAGAAAGCTGCATGTGCCGGAGAATGACATTCTCACAATAGCATCATCCAATGCCTATTATGTGCCAGGTAGCTGTGGGTGCCGGGGGTAACTGGTACACGTGACAAAACCCTCATGGAGTTTGCCTCTTGGTGAGGGGAAAGGGGACAGAGACAGCTTTCAAAATAACCACAGAGAGAAACATGCACGGGATCGAGGGGATGAAGAAACTCCTCCAGCTGAGGCTGCCAGAACACCTCAGCCATTCAGCAATCTAGAAAGAGTCTTCCAGGAAGAGAGAAGAACACACTGACAAGTCAAGGCCTGGCAGCTGCAAGGGAGGGAAAGGGTGTGTGTGGCAGGGGTGGATGAAGTGAAGGGAGCAAGGAGTGGAGACAGGCCCCGGGGCCTCACGGGGCCAGTGGATGCTCTGCTAGTTACAGCGGAAACTGCCAGTGGGTTAAGAAGAGGCATAATCCACCTTATGTTTTCAGAAGATGGGCCGGCCTCCAACTGAAGAAGGCATTATATGGGGTGGGAGTGGCAACCAAGAGGCCGACCATAAGAAACGGCAGTACTTTGGGTCAGAGCGAGAGAAGCCGGGACTCAGGTTGCAGCAGGGAAGCAGTGAGGGGCAGGAGGGTGCCAGTGGGAGGGCCCCTGGGCTCTGCTGTGAGACAGTGGACTATGCTGGCTGGGTGGCTGGCACAGCCCAGGGGAGGAAAGGGAAACCACAGCTGACTCTGGGACAAACACCACAGTCTGAATGGTGCCCGTCTCCTCACCTTACAGAACACAGGCCCCGAGTCTCACTCGAGGTCCCCAGAACCTACTGCACGAGACTGGGACATGGGGTTGTGTACCTGGACTGGGTCCACCGTGTCCCTCACCACACACAGGACATCGAAGCGGGAAATGATAGGTTCTGTGAGGTCCACGTTTTCTGAGAAGGTGAGCGAGGGGTCATAGCGGCCACCTGAAACACAAAGGCACCTCTCCATCAGGATCACGCTCCCTCAGATCTGCTCTTCTGAGCAGAAAGTTCTTGCCAACCCCAAGATGCTTCAGTGACAAAAGAAAAAGACGACTTTGGAAGAAGACAGACGCTGCATCTACCAGGCATTCTCGACGACTCAGAAAAGGACTTTCCCCATGCACTTGCCTGAAATAGCCTTTACACCGAGAGTCTAACCAACTCCTAGCAGGAAAAACCTAGAATAAGATGGGCAAGGTGCCTGGGCTCCCTGCCACATGTTGGCTGGGATCAATAATCAACTCCACCCAACTTAGACAACGCGCTAGATTCTTGTCTCGTCTTCTGAGGAAAATGCCCAAAACTGGTTCTGAGAACACAGCTCAAAAAAGACTGAAAGTCCTGCTTCCACGAACCCGCAACAAGACCCAGGGAACAAAGGAGGGTTTTCTGGTGCTCAGCTCCTTCCTCAGACCCTGGGACTAGTTGAGGAGTGCTGCAGGCTCCTACTGCCCAAGGCGAGGCCTCTCTGGGTCTTGCCTCCCTCTGGCAGACCCCCTTGACTCCATGGCAGACCCCCAACCCCATGCCTGGCATACCTATAGGGTTAGCTGCAGCGATGATGGTGCAGCGAGCCTGCAGGGAGGTGACGATGCCAGCCTTGGAGATGGAGATGCTCTGCTGCTCCATGGCCTCGTGGATGCTGGTTCTGTCCTGATCATTCATCTGCATGAGGTTCAATGCATGACATTTGCCCCAACTGCTATCCTGTTAACTACACCCCAAATCCTATCACCACATGGTCCAAGGACTTACCTTGTCAAATTCATCGATAAGACACACTCCTCGGTCAGCCAGAACCAGGGCGCCTGCCTCTAAGGTCCATTCCCTGCTGACGGGGTGCCGCTGGACATATGCCGTGAGGCCCACGGCCGAAGCCCCCTGCCCAGTGGTGAAGATGGCACGGCTAGACACTTTCTCGATGTATTTGAGGAACTGAGACTTGGCTGTGCCAGGATCTCCACACAAGAGCACGTTGATATCGCCTCGTACCTTGTGCTTACCCCCTGGAGGAGACAGGGATGGAGGGGAGGATGGAAGGGAAGGGTGCAGAGCATAGAGCTGGGTTACCCCTAGTTTCTCAGCCTACATATGCTGATGGCAAAGCATATCCTCTAGAAACGGATGCAAGACTCTAGGACTAGTGACCCTATTTCTGGAGAACTGAACCCAGAGAGATGGGGGCATAAGGCCACTTGTATAAAGACACTCTTAGCAAAGGTTAAGAATCTGGGAGCAGTGCAAATAATGTTCTCCACCGAGAGCCACATATGCTATGCTACAGAAACCTTGATACAGTCGCTTATGGGAATAAACCTGCTCAGTACACACCAATACAAAAAGATGCCCAAAACATAGTAATGAGCAGGAAATTGAAAGCTAGGTATTTTATCTAGTCACTTACACAGATACAGGAAACACTGCATTTATTAACAGAAACATACACATGACATGGAAGTGTGCTACTGTGTAAGTACACGTGTAAGTCTACAAGTGGCCATGCAAAGGCCCAACAGTGCACACACACATTACACTGATCAGAGTGACCCACCAAGAAGGGACTGGATTAGAAACAGTGCTCAGCGTGGACTTTCATCTTTCTGTGACTTCTAACAATTTAAGAAGAGAATGCAATCATAATCATCTCTCCATATTTATGTATTACTTTTATAGTTAAAACTGCCCAAGATAGGGCAGCCCGGGTGGCTCAGCGGTTTAGCGCCACCTTCAGCCCGGGGCCTGATCCTGGGGACCCGGGACGGAGTCCCATGTCAGGCTCCCTGCATGGAGCCTGCTTCTCCCTCTGCCTGTGTCTCTGCCTCTCTCTCTCTCTCTCTCTCTCTCTCATGAATAAGTAAAGAAAAAATCTTAAAAAAAAAACGCCCAAGATGCCACAGCCACAGGCTACGCTCTCCCTACAATGACTGAGCCACACGTGGTCTGGCCATCTGCTAACACTTACTTTCTCCCCAGGCACCCGGCCTTTAAATGCCAAGTCCTGCCTTGTCTGGTACCTGCAATGCAGAGGTAAGGGTGGGGGTGGGTAGTACCCAATGCCACTCACCTGGGTTTTTGGGCTCCCCTCCAAACAGTGCCAGTGCCAGGCCTCTCTTGATGTCTTCGTGCCCATAGATGGAAGGAGCAATGCTGGCAAAGATCTGAAAGGGAGGAAGAGCCAATGAGAATAGGAGCCTCTGCTCTGAGTCTGGGCCTACCCCACACATGCAATAGATCCTCCACCCACTCCAATCTCAGGGAACAAGGGTGTCTCCAGCCCCAGAGCCCGCACCACAGCTGTCACAATTCTGCCAGGCCCCAGCACTGAGCCCTACTTTCTGACCCTGGGTCGTGCAATTAGCTGGCTTGTCCTGAGAATCACAGAACTTTATAGAGCTTAAAAGAACTTTGGTCCCACCCTTTTTCTGGTCCTATTTCAGAAAGGACTACCCAAAGGTTGCAGAAGGGAGACAAGACCCAGGTCCACGAAACAGTGCAGTATGTGGGAAGAGGGTGGGCTGATGGAAGACCGGTATCATAGCTCAAATTCAGAGGGCTGGGTAGGTTCTAAGTGAGAGGTTTATACAAGTGCCTGGCTCCTGGGTATGCTCTGGTAGCCAAATATGATAAATATGGAGCATTCAGAAGATGGGCCCGCCAGGAAGTCACCATTTCAACTGCTAAGTCACAGAAACACCTATTTGGGTGTGAGACAGAGAAGAGGAAAAGACAATCTCAAAATCTGCATGATTTTTAAAGATGAAACCAGAGACATCAAAGAAATGTCTTGCTGGTAGGAAGCAGCTTCCATCTCTACCTACACGCTTTTACTGTTCTCCACCTTTCTGTCATCTGCACGGAGGGGCTCTGCAGAAGCAGTGCATACACATCCTTTCTTCCTGCCAGGCGGAAGAATCAATCCCTCAGGGCAATTGGAAGTGTGAAGGTGGGAGAAACTCCATTCTTAGAGCTGGAGTTAGGGTTCAGCGGTTTATCCTGCGGACAGCTACTCTCCACTGCTGCCAGAGGGCAGTGTAACCAGCAGGTCCTTCTGGAAAGAGGATCTGCCGATACCACTGGTGTTGGGGCAGAAATGCCTCCCGCTGTTATTTTAGGTAGTAAGTTAGGGGTGGAGGTCAGTTTCCACATGGACACTTTTGCTCGTTCTTTCCGTGGTCCTAATATGTCCTACAAAACCGAGCCCAAGGAGACACAGGACAACATTAGCTGGTGAACAGGGTTTCAGGCCTGGTACATGTAGAGGATGACCTCTCTAAACATCATTTTCCACTGAAAGAATATTATACTTCCCACAGGCCTATTTGGAGAAATGGCCAAACCCAGGTCTGGGGCAGGAAATATGCAAGAGATACCTGTGTTCTTATAAAAGAAAGAAGGAAGCTATCAGAGAGACCTGGAGTCATGCCAATAGAACTCAGGGACAACAGGCTTCACACTTGGCAACTAGAGGGACACACTGGATTCAGATTATGATTCAGAGTTATTCCTACTGTCCACCTGTTTCAGCTTTGAGCCTGGGCTTGACTGGATCCACTGACTCCTCACCACAGCCCCGTCCCCCCGAGACGCCAGTCTGGACACCAGCACTCAAGCTCCTCCCCCCCCCCCCCCCCCCCATCAAGGCAAGTTTACCAAGCCAACACTGGGAAGGGAAAGAATGAAGACGGGTAGACCCCAGGACCTGGGAAACAGAACCATGGTTCTGGGTGCTCCTCTGGGAGCACAACAATCCCACCCAGACTTCCACCTGCCTTCTCCCCAATTTGCTGGTCCTTGGAGAGACTGGTGATCATCTTCACGTCTTCGTCTGTCAGTTCCCCCACAGCAACCTTATTGTCCTTCTTGGCTACGTGGTTGGCTAAGATGACAGTGGCAAAGACAGGGAAGCCATTGGCCGTGTTGAGGGAGCCATCATAGTTGTTGTGGTAGATGCCAGTCAGCTCCTGGGAGAGGAGAAACAATCCAGAGGCCCAGCCCGGGGTTAGACTCAGGGGTGAGGTCCTCCTCCCCACTGCCTCCATTGTCTGATTCTCCTCTTCAACTCCTCTATACCAGACAGCAAAAAGAGTAAACCAGAAGATTAATCCAAAACATTCCACTGGCCAGTCCTTTACAAGTTCCCACTGCCAGCAACCCTCTCTGCACCATAGATGCCGATGCTGATTTCCTTAGCAACTCGGCTCCCTCTGGGCCTGCTTCTGGGCCACTTACTATCTCATCTCCTGGCTTGCAGCTGTCCACCAGATCAGCGAGGAGGATAGCATCCTTGGAGCGAGGCAAACGGCCAGCCGCCACTTTGCCAGGACTTTCCTGAATTCGGATACGCTGGTAGTTCTGGTAGATGGTCTATGTGGGAAAAACAGAAGGTCAACTTTGGACTCCTTCAAGCACTGACTTACGTCACCTGACCCTGGCCATGGCCCCATGAGGAAGGAGAACAGACAGGATTCTTATTTCCATCAACTGACTAGAAAATGGAGAGCCATTTTAGAGAAGATGGCAGGGAACAAGCCTATGGGGACCAACGCATCAGTGGACAGTCTCCACTGCTGCCACTACCCCCATGGATGCCTCCTGCCAGTCAAGCACCTGCTATATGCTGTGGAGCCAAGCCCTGCTGCACACAGATGCCACAGCCAGGCTGCCTAGGTTCAAATCCTAGCTCCATGTCTTGAGCTGTGTGATCTTAGGCAACCATGTTCTCTCTCTAGGCCTTCTCTGCGGAAAGGGGATGCTAACACTCAAAGCAAACACTCAGGGTAAGGATTAAACCATGTCATATGTCAAAAGCACTGAAATCAATGCCCAACAAAACAGTGAGCTCCACTAAGTGTGGGCTCTGCTGCCAAATGTCACATGTCAACATTTTGCTGTGCAATTTAATGTCCATTATTTCATTTCATGTCTAGAAAAGAGGCCACATAATACAGCTGTTAAAAGCAGACGCTCTGGGTTAAAATGCCAGAGTTCTAACCTTTGGGCCTCCTCCTAGCTGTGTGACCTTGAGGTCAGTAATACCACCTGCCTCAAAATGTATAATGAAAACTGGATTATACATCATCCCCTACTGGCACCTTGCAAAATACTCCAGAAACCTCAGAAGTAAATATTACTCATGTAGAAGCAGGGCCTGAAACCCTGTTCCTGTTTAGACTTCTCAAGAAGCTTCTAGGAAAGTAGACTCTTAAGGAGGATGAGCTAAGCAGGCAGGGGACTCTGGGCAAAGGTGTGGGCTCGGCTGACATGTGGCCTTGCAGTTCACCCGACCCAAGCAAGGTGCACCTCGACTTTACAGCAGGTCTGCTATTGGCTCTGGGCTGCCACAATCATAAACCCTCAAGGGTTTTCTGATAAAGTGGTCTCAGCCAGAGCACTTCTCAGGCGCAGAGTGCTGAGAGGTCAGCAGCAGATAATCGCAGCAAGGCCATAAAGGGAGTCTGGGCATCCCCTACTGGTACAGGGATGACCCCAACTGTAGAGATGCAGTCATTCGAATACAAAGACAAATGGCCCAGCAGCTTTCAGCAGGGCCTCCTGAATATGGCACCATGATGTCTAAGCTAGTTATAAGCTAGAGGCCCCCAATGAGAGGCCCAGAGAGGCTGGTACCAGAAATGTCAAGGGAAAGCCCCTGAGTAAGGGATGGGGAAACAGGTGCCTTACTATGGGGGCAGCCCGACATGTGAGCCCAGTTTTGCCAGACCTGCACCCCAACTTTAAAAAAAAAACAAATCAATTTTGACATTTTAAACAAAATGATCTAATTTTAAAATATTGGCATAAGTTCTTGAAAAATGCCCCACAGGCCAAACTAAACAGGCCAGCCAGATAGATCTGATTTGCCTCAGGGTGTGGCGAATACACAAGTCTATGCTGTTTTCCCACAGCTGCCCTGCTAATCTAATTGCTTAGAGGTGGGGGAGGCCCTGCGCAGACAGGAAGGGCAGCCAACAACGGGTGCAGCCTCTCACCTCCTCCATGTTGACTTCAAAGGGGCCAGCTGACTGACACTCAGGACAGGAGCCTGGCTTCACCTCCTGGTTCTGGGACTGACAGAAGGGCCCCAGCACGAAGCTACACTTGTTGCAGTTGTACTTGACCATGCTGAGCTGGGGCAGGACGCCTGTGCAGCTGGTCACCACCCCGCTGGTGCGGATTAGCTGGTTCAGGTGCAGCTGCCTGCAGACACGAGAGGGCATATCAGTGGCCTGGAGGGCCATATGATTGATCCATGGCATCCAGAGATTGGGGCCATAAGTGAAGTGGATCCAGAAAATTTGGGGTCTGGACCCATCAGATCCACATCATTGCACCCAGTACAAGCCAGAGTGCCAGGAGAGAGGACTCTCCTTGGCCATAGCCAGCCCACCCAGGCCTGTGGCCCTGTTGCCGCTCCCTCTAACGAAGCTGAGCCACAGGGTAGTGGGAACCGAGACCCTCAGGCTCACCCTGCTCCTGGCTTACCTCAGCGAGCGCAGCTCCTCTACCAGAGGCAGGTGGGAGATGCGCACATGGATGTGGCTGGCGATGCGGTCGTATTTTGGGTACATGGCCAGCACAACCTCCAGGGCAGCCTCATCAAAGATCTGCAGCAGCTCTGCTGGTGCCTCTGGCAGGAAGTAGGCCAGGACATGCTCCCGGGCTGCCAGGTCTTCATAGTTCACCACAAGGCTCTCGCGGTTCTCTGGTGGTAGGAAGAGAGACCAAGCAGAGCTCAGCCAGGGACACAGCAGGCAATTTCTTTCCCTTATTGCACAAGGGGGAGGGCCTGCCCACCCAAATCCTAGGCTTGGCACCAGAAACCCCAGCCCTAATTTGAGCATGCCCTGCTTTAGCTACACGACTCAGATGAGTGATACATCCTGAGCCTCAACTTCCCAATCTGTAAAATGCGGACATCACACAGCATATGAAATCACATTAAGGGAAATAATACATGCGGGACGCCTTTTACAGGAGGGCTGCAAACTCAAAATGCCTAAAAGGGCCAGGAAGGAAACCTGTGAATAAGCTATGTCAAATACAAGACAAAAAGGAAGTGGAGTGGACAGCAGGGGACCAAAATCTACATGCCTCCTCTTAAATGTAATTCCATTACACAGAAATGTACTACTTTCTGACTGAAGTAGTAATCCAGACTTTTACATCAAACATGTCTTATTTTAAGCATGTCAAACACCACTTCTGTGGTCCAGACGTTCCTGGACAGCCAGCAGAGCATCTTAGTGTAGACATACAATGCTTTTTGTATTTGCCTGATGATGGACACCTCGGGCGTCAGGTGCTGGCTCCTGTCTAGCGACGGGCAGGTGGCTCGGTATTCCCTGCACTTCACATCCCTATGAAACGTGCTATTAAAGGCCCAAGGGAATGACCCCTGGAGAAGGATTCTGCAAGGTGAACTGAGGTAAGTGGAGAGGCAGACGGGAAAGCGTACCTTTACACATGTCGCTGATGCGCTCCTTGAAGACGTTGTGGCCGTGGCCATCCACATGGGTGCGCAGGAAGTTCTTAAAGCGGTGGTGGATCTCCAGGCGTGGGCCTGCCATGCTCACCCACTCACGCACTGAGTGGCCCTTGAGGTCCTCCAAGTTCTCGATACTCTCAATCATGTCTTCATCCTCCTCGCCATCCTCTGTGGCCCGCTCTACCTGGCGGCGTTTCCGGGAAGGGCGCTCCTCGTCCTCCTCATCGCTGTCTGGGGGCCAAAGGGATACCCTCATGTGAAATTTTCCTGCCTTCCCCAGGACTCCCTTTCCTGGCCTCCCGAGACTCTGGAAGCTAGGACCAGCCTGAACCCCTGGAGGTGCAGACGTTTTGAGCCTACCATACAGAAGCCCACGGCGCATGCGGCCCAGGCCCCGGCCAGCCTCTCGGTCACGCTGTCGCATTGCCCGTTCTGCTGCCTCTCTCTGACTGGCTGTCAGTTCCTCGACGTCCTCATCATCCAGGGCCAGTCCCTCGGCCTCGTAGACATCCAGTTCTGGGATGGCACGATAGTCCCTGAGGGAACACCAAAACATACCCTGTTGGTATAAAAAAAAAAAAAAAAACAAACAAACCCAAAAGCCTGCCCAGGAGCTGGTGCTACTCCAGAAGAGTCCCAGATTAGGCAGTCTGGGAGTCCCCAGGCCAGAAATACAAAAGGCTCCAAGAGGACCTCCAACAGAGACAAATTGTGGTCAGTGCATGCAATGGAATATCACTCAGTCTTCAGAAGGAAAGAAGGCTGACCGTGCTACAAGGCAGGGGAATCTTGACGACAATGGGCTCAGTGAAATAAGCCAATTACAAAAGGACAAATACTCTTAGGATTCAGTTTGGGGAGATGAAAAAGTCCTGGAGATGTTTGCACAACAATGTGAGTATACTTGATGCCCCCGAACTGGACACTTACAGACGGGTAAGATGGTAAATTCTATATTTTTTGTATTATGTGTGTTTTGCCATGATAAAAAGCAAGGGGAAGGTATGTCCAGACAGCTTTGATCATCCAATACGAAATAGGAATTTGAAGAACCACAAAACCTTCAGGCAGCCAACCCCAGTTTCCCAACGGGGCAGAAATTCTCCCTGTACTTCCCTCCCAGACAAGGTTGCCTCAAACCCCTTGAAGTACTGGGAAGGTCTACTGGTATCAGCCAAACCAGCCTCTCTGAAATGCCCGCCCACTGCCTCAACCCTCTCAGCTACTCTGAGACCTAAGAGGACTTGTTGTCCACGATGTGACCTGTCAGGTATTTCAAGGGGAATGCTGTCTGCACAAGAAACCCACTGAGAGCAAGGACAGCTTTCCTCCCTGCAATTCTGGGAAGTAGACATCATTACTCCATCTGTAAGATGAGGGAACAGGATTATGGGGATGATAGGGCTTTTGCCAAGAGCCACTCAGCAAAGCTGGGCGTCAAAATACAGTCCAACCACAAGCTGCAGGCTGTTCCCTGATACCATCCTACCTCCCTGAGACAATTGTCTGGAAAATTCTTTTTTTCAGAGTAAATGGTTATGGGGGGGGGGGGGAGGACTGATGCTTCTTTTTTGGAATGAACTCAGAATAAGTAATCCCATATTGCTGATACCAGAAACAGATCCCAGAACCAGGTAAATGTATGAGCTGATTCATTTCTGAATTCTTAAAAGTTCTCAGTTAAAAGATATTTGTCATACTTTTTGAGAATTCTAAGTCACACAAAATGTCCTCTGTCCTCAGTGAAATTCTAGTTGGTCCGTAAAAAAAAAAAATCAATAAATTGGGCTTTATCAAAATAAAAAACTTTTGTGCCTCAAAACACATTAAAAAAAAAAAAAAGGCAGACTGGAAAGAAAATATTTGCAAATCATGTTCTGATAAAGGACCCAAACAGAATGAATTTTAAAACCTATTGTAATTCAGTAATAAAAAAAAAAATCAAGCAATCCAATCATAAAATGAGCAAAGGATCTGAACAGATATGTCTTCAAAGATATATAAATGGCCAATAAGCACATAAAAAAGATGTTCCAGGGCAGCCCAGGTGGCTCAGCGGTTTAGCGCTGCCTTCGGCCCAGGGCGTGATCCTGGGGACCTGGGACTGAGTCCCATGTCGGGCTCCCTGCATGGAGCCTGCTTCTCCCTCTGCCTGTGTCTCCGCCTCTCTCTCCCTCTCTCAGGGTGTCTCTCATGAATGAATGAATGAATAAATAAATAAATAAAGCCTTAAAAAAAAAAAACAAGGATGTTCCACATCATTAACCACAAAAGAAACCCAAATCAAAACCCCAGTGAGACATCGCCACACACCCACTGGGATGGCTAAAACTGAAAATCAGAAAATAACCGGTGTTGGCAAGAACTAGAGACTAGAACCCTCATACCCCACTTGTTGGAATGTAAAATGGTGGAGATTTTTTGGGAAACAGTCTAGCAGTTCCTCAGAAGATTAACCACAGAGTTAACATACGAGCCAGATATATGCCGAAGTAAATCCAAAACGTATGTAACAACTTCAGAGCTGATTCTTCCCATGGTGTGGCACATATGGCACATCCACTCTCATCATCTGGGGTACTGGTTCTTTTTTTTTTTTTCCTTTTAATTTTTATTTATTTATGATAGTCACACACAGAGAGAGAGAGAGAGGCAGAGACACAGGCAGAAGGAGAAGCAGGCTCCATGCACTGGGAGCCCGACGTGGGATTCGATCCCGGGTCTCCAGGATCGCGCCCTGGGCCAAAGGCAGGCGCCAAACCGCTGCGCCACCCAGGGATCCCCTGGGGTACTGGCTCTTATTATTTTTTTGTTTTGTTTTTGTTTTTTTTTTGGGTACTGGTTCTTAAAGCAAAGATCCAAAAAGTCCAGAGAGCCCCGGCAAGTCCTTCTGCTGGCTCCCAGAGGGCACTCCCCATGGATCATGGGGTGGCCTGTACAGTACTAGAACCCCTGGTCAGAGTAAAAGGTGGCCCAAAGGAGAGTCTTCATAAGGTTCCTGGGTATTCAAACAATCCTACTATTAGTATATCTACCAATCCTGGTTGTGAATACATGGTGGCGCCAGGAGATATCCAACCCCGCTCCCTTGCAGGCATATTCCACTACCTTACCATTAAGCCTTGTAACCTTCAATACACGTTTATATTTTTATTAGGAAGTGTGACAATATCTAACTCCAGGCCTGATACCGATCAGGCATGATTTATTGCTGAACTGCATTAAAACTTTGATTCATCAGGCACCCGCACAGTTTCTCTGATGTTACAGAAAATCACTCAGCCGCCTGCTTCCTGTTCTTCCAAGTCATCTGTGGCATCCCTGATGCAGTCCACCACGTGAAGAACTCCTTGCATTCCCTAAGGTGCTCAGCTCGGAGCTGAGGCTTATGCAGTCTGTGACACAGCAAGTTACACACACCTGTGTTGTGATTCCATGAACCTGTCTCCCCCAGACCCCGCATCAAGGTGCACTCATAGGCAAGGGTACTCTGATTCACCTACTTCCCTGTACCCAAAGCAAGGCCGCCAGCCACACAATGGGCTCTCCAGAGAACTATCTGCTGAGTGCCTAGCCTTGAATGAAAATACCTCTCCATGCCATCTCCAATAAGCTCCTCTCCATCTTCTTCCTCTTCATCCAGGGGTCCCTCGGTACCTAGAAGCCCCTCAGACTCATCCTCAAAGGGGGGAAGATCACGGCCAGGGCTAGAGGTCAGGGCATCCATGCGACGGGAGCTTTGCCCTGGGCTGGAAGTAAGAGGATCACTTCGCTGCCGCTGGGCTGGGCTGGACGCCACAGTGAAGGATTCAGACGATTCCTGCAGGACAGAGAAGGCGAAGGTTGACTTAGTTAGCATCCTATAAGGCTGTCCTTTCCACCTGTAACCCTGTCCCCTGACACTCCAAACCCCCTCCAGCCTCAAGACTTTGCATTTGCCTGGAAGGCTTTCCTCTGCCTGGAAGGCTTTCCTGTGAGCTCCCTGAGCCAAAGCCTTCTCAAACATCACTTCCTCAGGTTCTCCAGGCACTGACGTTTCCCCATGCCTCCTCCATGCCCAGTCACTAAGGACACCTCGTTTGTTTACGTACCTGTTTCTCTGTTCCCCCTGCATTCCTCTCCTGTAAGCCTGCCTTCCTACCCATAATACGCCAGACACTGCGGCAGGAGTCAATACAAGAATGACCCAAACATAAGAGATCTGGAATTTACTGGGCTAAGGGACAGACAATAAAGACGACGAAAGGACAGAATATACTACGACACGTGCACGAAGACGGGGACCTTGTCTGTCCTGTGCACACGCCGCGCCCGCCAGGGAGCGCGCCCCACAAGCAGAGCGGACCGGCCCCAAAGCTCGGGGTCGGGGATTCGGAGCTCCCGGCCCGGGGCGGGCCAGGCGCGTCCCCGGGCGGATTCGAGCGGCGTGGAGCCCGCTGGCTCTGCAGACCCCGCCAGAGAGGTGTAGAGGGGAGCGACGGCTCCGAGGCAGAACCCAGGGGCCCCAGCTCATCCGGAGGCCCCACCGGGGCGGGGAGGGGGCCCGGGGACCGAGAGCGCGCAGCCTCCCGCCCCGGCTCCCCGCGCGCCCGCACCGCCCGCGCCCCCAGCCCTCGCGGGGACCACCCGCCGCCCCCAGGCCCCCGCGGGGACCACCCGAGCGCTCACCGCCATCCTAACGCCACGCTTCCCGCCGCCGCTCCGGCAACAACCAGTTTTCGCGCGAAAAGCGGCTCACGTGACCCGCCCGAGCCCGGGAAGCGTCCGGAGGAACCCGGCGTCGTGACGTCGGCCCGGTCTGCGAGCGCGGGGGGCGGGGCAGAGGAGGAGGCCCCGCCCACGCCCCGGGGCGCCCCGCCCACTCCGCCTGGCGCGCCGCAGTGCTCCGGGCGGTCCGGACCCGCGAACCGCGGGGCTGGGGCTGCGCTGACTTTGGTCGCCCCGTGGCGGTTTCCCAGATGAGGCCGCTTGAGGTTCAGAGCCCTGCTCCGAGAGCTCTCAGGCTGAATCCTCCAAGAACCCAAACGGCTCCATAATTGTAGAAGGCCACGATCGATGTTCTAGTAGGAGTCACTTTCACCGAGGAAAGCAAAGATGCAGACGCGTTCCGAACAGAAAGAACGCCGTTTCTAAAGATGCAGAGAGCGTGGCACAGCGGGGATCTCTAAGAAATCCCGTAGTTTTGGTTAAACAGTTTGTGATACCCAGGACGGGGGAATCCCTCAGGCTGCTCTCGGCTGCTGGCCGGTTGAGTTGAAGGCTGTTGCTGCTGTTCTTCCCTTGGGCTAGGGTAGGTCCCCTGGTGGGCAGGGCAGGGTTGGATGTCAGCCCTCTCCGCCACAAACAAGTATCTCTGGATGGAACCCAGTGTAGGTGCAGGAGGGATGAGGAGGACTGGGAATATCCAAGCGACATTTAGGAGATAGAGTCCATGGGTGTTGGGTATTGAGCAAGACGGAGGCATCCAGGACCAGATGGCACCCCCTCTAAGATGGGGAGTGTAGGAGGAAGACAAGTTGGGGGGAAAGAGGAGAAGTTTGTTTCTGGCTGGGTTGAACCTGGGCCCTGAGTGGAGATATTTAGTAGGAGGTCATTCAGTGTTTAGGTCTGGGGCTTGAGAGAGTATGGGCTGTAGTTGTAGATTGTCTTGAGAGTGGTTGGACAGTGAGTGCCATGAGAAGAGAAGCCCTGGGTCTCATACCTGGGAAACCCTAGCAGATAGGAGGTACCAATAAAGGATGCTGGGCAAGGGAATGGGATACTGGGAGCTGCTAAGGAGAAGCTAGAGAAGGGATGGTGGGTGGGATTGAATTAGTTATCTATTGCTGCATAATGAATTATCCTGGAATCCAGCAGCTTAAAACAATGACTATGTATTATTGACGTGACTACGGGTTCAGGATCTGGCTGTGACAGCTGGGTGCCTCTGCCTCGAGGTTTCTCACAGTGCTGCCATCAAGGCGCTGGCATGGCTGCAGTCTTATCTGAAGGCTTGGCTTGGGAAGGATCCACCTCCCTCATGAGGCAGGATTCAGTTCCTCCCAGGCTATTGAATGAGGACCCAATTTCACACTGGCCCTTGGGTGGAGGCCTCCTTATTTCCCTGCCAGGTGGGCCTCTCTTTAGGACATCTCACAACATGGCAGCTGGCTTTGCTCAGAGCGAGTGAATAATAGGGGGAGAGAGGCCATATGAGACAGAAGTCATGTCCCAGAAGTGATGGCTCATCACTTTTGCCATTTTCTGTTTGTTAGATGCAAGTGGCTGCATTCAGCGCACTCTTGAGGGGAGGGGATCAATCAGGACCATCTCAGAGGCTGCTTTCCAGCAGGGGGTCAAGATGGTAGATAGGATTAGCAGGTGACAAGCGGCCAAGAGGTTAAGTTTGGTAGGGACCAGGAACCATGGGTGGCCCCAGCTATAGCACATCTGTGCCAGATCAGCATCAGGTGTCACATTGGTGTGTTGAGGAGGGTGCAGGGAGGTAATAAGGGTGAAGGTGGACAGCTCTTTGGGGAAGTTGGGCAGTGGGAGGGGGAAGTAACAAGTGGGATGTGGGGATTAGGAAGGGCCTTTCTTTGAGATGAGAGATATTTGGGCATGTTTACATGCTAATAGGAGGAGGGTAGGAGAAATGGAAATGTGGAAGAGGGTAGGGGGAAGCTTCTGTTATGCCCCCCCCCCCCCCGTGATCCCTGCCTTCTGCTACTCACACCTGTGGGTTATCTCCTCCCACATGGACCAGAGTTGGTCTGTGTGACCAACAGCATATAACAGAAGTGACTGGACGTCATTTCAGAGATTAAGTTATAAAAAGGTTGTGCCTTTTCTCTCCTCTGTCTCCCTCTCTCCATCAGATGACTCACTTGGAGGGAAGCCAGCTGCCATGTTCTGAGGACACACAGGCAGCCAGCCCTGCGAACAGGCCCACAGAGTTGAGAACTTGGGACCCCAGTGGAGAACTGGGGATCCCAGGCAACAGTCATGTTGGACTCACTCTGGATGCACATTACCCTGGGGCTTTATTTTTCTTACCTCAGTAGGCATCCAGCACTGGACATCATCAAGGACAAGCCTCCTCCCACCTTCAGCTTGGGGCTTTCATCCCCAAAATCTCTGTCTGGCTGCTCCTTGTCTAGGCAATGCATCAGAGAAGAGGTCAGCTCATCTTGGCCTAAGCCTAGCTTTCTCTCTTTGTCAACTGGTCATGAGGGGCCTCCTAGCAGGTCATAGGTGTGAATGAGGGAGAGATGCTGGTGGGACTGTGGTAGATGATGGAAGAGCTACAATGGATCACATATGATCTGTTGGGCCCACCTGAATTTACAACCTAGCAAGCCTGATAGAACCCAGTTCATTGGGAACAGCTCTGGCCTTATGGTCACTCGCCATCCCCTAGTCATTTCTATGAAGGGCCAGTAACCTAGTGGAACTGCTTTTTGAATTTGTATATAATTCTCCACTGTAGGTGGCCTGGCCTTGCTCTAGAACCCTAGGGGTGTACATTATGGATTTCCTGAGAGGGCTTGCCATAAACTTTACACAGCATCTTTACCCACCACCTATGCCTCTAATATTATAGGATCCTTGGGTCCTGCAACCTATGAGACAGCCTTTTTCTGTGAGCCATACTCAAAGCTGGAATCTTTTACGTCGCCCAGAGATATATGGGTCCCAACAGAGTTCTTAGATGTGGAATATACTGTCTCCAGCACCCAAAGAGTGGGTTCTGGCATAGTGCTTCCTTCCCTGGAGTGGGGTATGCAAGATGCAATCATTTTTCCTTTGGAAGGGATGTCCTGGTGTGCCACAGACCACTAGACTTCACTGAGGTGGCAAACCCCCACATCTTCACAGGAGTTATCTTCCATCTTCTGGAGCACCTATGTCTCATCTAGGTCTTCATTTACTTGTTACTTCTTGTTCAGCCAGCCAGATTAGTAGGATGTCATTGATACAGTGAACTAATGCAAACGTTCTGTCAAGGGTTCAGATGGCCAGGACTCTTTGGACTATGTTATGACCACTGGCCTGGGGCAAGGCCATAAATGTGAGTGGCTGTCTTTCCCTGTGAATGTCAGTGGTTCCTGATACAGATGGTCAGATTGCACGCCAGCCCCTGGGTACCTGAGGTCATGCTGCTCCATGCAAGGACACTAGCACGGAAGCTGTCATTGGGGCTACTCCTGGCTTGAGTTTGCAGCAATCCACTACCATTCTCTGTATTGTTTTAAGGTCAGACTGACGAATTAATTAGGGATATGATGGGGTGCAACTCCAATTCCATATGTTTTAGATCTTCATGGGAGCACTAATCTCTGCATTTCTCCTGCTATGTGATATTGTTTTTTTACTTACTATGTAGCCTGAGGCGGGTGGGTGGGGCAAGTTTCGGGGACTTGCACTTGACCTTCACTTCTGGGAAAACTCCCCTCATGCAGACCAAGGAACCACGTGGGCACACTGCCAGCCGAAAGCAGAGGTTTATTCAGCCTTACTGGCTGCTCCTTTGGCTACGATGGTTGTAGGACCATTGCACCTTACTTTTCTTCTGATAGCTGAGCACTGTCATGCTGTTTCTGTCATTTGCAGATTTCCATTTCTCTCAGGGAGCCCTGTTCTGTAACAGTCATGGTTCAGAGAGGATGACCACGTCTGAGCCTGGTGCAGGGCAAGGAAGAGAACTTGAGAATTAGATCCTTAACTACCATTTCTTGACCTTCACTGATACCACACTCTGGTCTGGGTGGAGGGGATACTGCAGTGAATAAGACCCTGACTCTGCCCTGAAGGGGAGGGGATGATATAGATACACTAAGTGATTCCACAAGTGAAATCCTGCAGAAACCTACGCATGAGGCCCAAAACTCAGAACATAGAATGCAGAATTGTCCCTTGCAATAGTAATCAAATTCCTCCCACCCCCCCAGAAAGTTTGTACTGTCAGAAAAAAAAAAATTACAAAAAAAGAAAGATGGAGGGCAGTCTTTTGGCCTGGTCACAGATTGTCTATTTCTTCTTCCTGGAACATGGTAAGAAGGAAGTTTCCTGCTCCTTGGAGGTTAGGAGTGGCCCAGGACTTGTTTTTGCCAATTAAATGTGAGTGGTAGTAATGCTTTTAGTTTCCGGGTAACTCTAGAAATTGACCCCGACTCCCCCCATAGCCCATTCAGGAAGGCAGGCAGCCGTGTGGAGCACAGTCCCTCTCGGCTGATACAGAAACCGTGCACCCCGATCCTGGAGACCCGGGATTGAATCCCACATCGGGCTCCCGGTGCATGGAGCCTGCTTCTCCCTCTGCCTGTGTCTCTGCCTCTCTCTCTTTCTCTCTCTGTGACTATCATAAATAAATAAAAATTAAAAAAAAAAAAAAAAAGAAACTGTGCACCCCGACCACCGTCCAGGCTGGGAAAGTCCCAGACAAACCAAATCCTGGATGGTCACGAGGTGGTGACGTCCTAACCTTCTCCAGTTTTAGAAGAACGGGGCCAATCTTATTTCAGTCCAACTGTGAAGCAGCTGTGTCATCACGGGGGGTGTGTCTTGGGGTTCCTGTGATAAATGGGTGTCTGCCATTTGCACCAGGCAGGGAGTCAGCCTCAGGATGTTGCAGGGAATGTGACAAACATGGTTTTGTTCTCACTACACTGACAATTCTAGTGGAGGGTGGCTGATGAACTAGGAAGCAAGTAAATGAATCTAATCACGTTAGATGGTGCTTCGAAGGAAATAAA